TATATATATATATATACGCACGATCATATAATTTTATAACAACACTTTTTTTTTCTTTACCCTTTTGAACCGATGTTTCTATGTATCTTTTTTTTTTATACAGTACGCAACTGCCAGACTATCGACATACGTGTGCAGCTGATCGGCGAACTCGCGCACGACCGTAATCGGCGCGTCTAGAGTAACTATAATTCGGAGTTCAGTCGTCTAACGCTATCGAGCTATCGAGAGCCGGTCGTGGTGCCGAAGAAACGCGTGTACATGTACGTAAGCGCATACGAGATTATCTATGTTCTTTCTTTAAAATAAAGCCGGATCTAGACCAAGCAAACAAACTCGACTAAACAACTTGCTTCAAGTGCAAACGGTACTATTGTTGTTTATTCGCGTTCGTTCATACTCATTTGATTGATCTGGATTTGACTTAGCATGATCCGATAACAGTTTGGAATCGCTCATTGTTTTCTGTCTATTTTTGCAATATTTATTTTGTGCCATGTTGTTTCAAATTGAGATTTACCACCAGAATAGCAAAGACAGTCACACGAATTACTATATATTCTTTTTACTATATATTCTTTTTAAATCTTACAAAGTTTGTGATCTTGTAAAAGTTTTAAGTCTTACTTTCTCTTTCACATTATGACACGAAGTATAACAATAATTTTAATTGAGATGATCAACATCTCGATCTGTGAAAGTCGATCTCTTTAGAAATAATTAAGTATAGAAAATGTAATATTCAATGTATAATTCAGCTTTGAGAGGCACGCTGCGAATTTCGATCACATGTATTCAATCGTGCATTATAAAATATCATTGATTAGAGTATTCGAGAAATAAGAGATAATAGAGTCATATTATATTTTTTAACTATATATAAGGTAATCTTTCTCATGTTAAGAAACTATTTTTCTAGAGAGCAAATTCTCAGCCATTCTGGTGTTAAGCGCAACTCTATGGAATCACTGTGCATCGGAGTGTCTCCACCGAAGACTCAATGATAAAGTTCGACTGTTCCGATTAGTATTGGACTAGAAATTCCACTTAAGCTCAACGCAAAAACGCGATTCGAGATTTTATTAGGCATTTTAAATGAAACATAATATCGACCATGCGATCATGTAATCGGTCGACGATTACTACTAATTTTTTTTTTTTTTTCAAGCAATGCGACGTGCCCGGCACGCCTGAATATGATTTTAGCGACTACACCTTCGACATGAGGGTGGTTGGAGTCGTCGATCGCTCTTTTGCAGCTGAAAAGAAAAGAACGTGGGCACCACCACCGCACGAAGGTTCGTCAACGCTCGTAAAAGGCATAGAGTTATTTATTCTTATTTCTTTTTTTTTTGTTAGATTTACTTCGTTAAATATATTAACGACAATCGTTAAATATATTACCGCACGCGGTAGTATCAAAATAAACCACACCAAGTGTAGAGTATAGAATATTCGTAGGTGTATGTATGTACAGTATAGAGTTCCTATTTATCTCTGTTTTGTCTCTCTATTTTTACTCCACGAAAGCCACTGAAACATTGGTTTTCGTTTTATTAAAAAGTCAGCTACCATCCTTAAATTGTTGCTATTCCTTGTTGCTGCTGTTGTTGTTGCTGCTACTGCTGCTGCTGATGTTATGATTTCATTCTGATATTTGCTGTTACCGTTAGGAAATACACTACGATTAAAGTATATCACAGATGTCAACGAGAAGAACGCTCTAATGTGTGAAAAGAGTGAAGTGAAGTGAACGAAACGAAGATAAATCACGATTCTCGAACGCCGATTGTCCAATAATCGTCACAATTGATCGATCTTTGATTCTGATTTAAAAAATTAATTGTGAAAATCAAAGTCTCTATACTTTCTATATTATTTCTGTACTCTCATGCAAGATTAATAACAATTGTCATATCCTTTTTAAACTAGATAAAATTGAATTTATATAAATCTGATTATTCTGTAGATTATTCTAGTTAAAAGAGCAGGCACATGTATATATAATGACAAAAAAATTACATCAGTTCAATTTTGCCGATTAATTATCATTCCCGTTATAATCGATCCAATTACAAAAACATAATCCACATCGATCGATTGTAGATATTTTTGATTTCCAATCGGCGAACCCCGCGTAATTTTCAAGAGTTAGAGAATAAGGAAAGGCGAGACAGTGTGGTCCAATTAATTGCAGTTTTGTCGCATACTCGATATAAGATCTAGTTATAAACTACTAAAATTTTCTCTTTCTCTTTTTCTAATTTTTATCGACGCAGTCTACGTCGTTCTTCTTCCTACCAATTCCTACGAATCGACTTCCATTGACGTTTCGGAACAACGAAATTAGTTCCGTTGGCAATAAGAGATTGTCATAGGTTTTCAAGTTATGTGATACGCACACGTCGCGCGTTTTGTGTAGTTGTTTTGCGCTACACAAAGTAGATTTTCTTAATTATATCATGCCGTTCGCGCGATCGTATTTCATTTACACGATGCGCAGAATATTCTTTTCATACTCTCTCTCTCTCTCTCTCTCTCTCTCTCTCTCTCTCTCTCTCTCTCGTTCTTTCTCCCGGAAAGTTCAACCTTCCTCTAAATGCTCGACTTGTTCATTTTGGCAAGTTCACGGCGGCGAAGAGACTATAATATAACGACTATATTGTCATGCACTACAGTCTTTCTTAGAGCCCTTTCTTAAATCCCTCCCGCGATTTTTCACCATAATGTTTTTCCGCCGTGCAGTGTATACCATATGTATAACATGTGTGTACTATGTTTTATCCCTTGGAAACATTTCGTACGTACAACTAGAGACTACATCGGCCCTGGATTAAGAGGGCGGATCCAACGATCCACCAGTGGAGGACGGTCTCTCGGGTATCTCCTTGCTTTCGTCCGTATCACCACTGCCTCTACCATTTCTCATCGTCGTAATAGAGGAGATAGTGGTCGAGACATCCTGTATTTCGTCGTCGCGCAATCTGCCGCCGCGCCGTTGTCCGTTGCTGCTGCTCGCCGAGTCTGTGTCGTCCACGTATATTCTCACGTCAGATCCGATGGCGCCGCCCTCGCCGATGTGCACTCCATTGTCGTTGCCACTGCCGTTGTCACTTCGGCTGCCGCTACCATTACAACTACCGTTGCTGATGCTACCAGCCGCGCCAGCACTCACGGCGACACTAATGCTGGCGACGGCGCTGAGACTGCCGGCGACGCTCAGGCTACCGGTACCGGTACTCTCACTTGCGTTGCCGCACGGCGAAGGGATTTCGTCGGATCTTTCCTCGGTGGTGACATAAATATGGCTGTATCCTTCGCCGCGGATCATCGCGCTGTACTGATCGCTGGCGATGCTAGTGGTGGTGGACGCGCCAGCGTCATGCGTTTTCAATTTGGACGGCCTCCTCTCGTTGATAACAGATTGCACATCAAGATCTTCTTGGGGTGGCGTCGGCACCGTCGTTGTTGTTGGGCGTCTTCTCTCTTCTATCATCCTCTTCTTTGGTTCCTCTAATCGAGCTTTGCCACCGACATAACCATTCGCGATGCTGGGC